ATCTTAATAAAGAAAATGTTCCAACCGTTTTAATTAATCAAGTTATTCCATCATCAAATCCCACTACTTCAATGCCAATTATACGTCCTCAACCGCAGGTATAATAATTTTCGAGTTATTTTAAAATTTTAATTTATATTAGATTCAGATTTCTTTTTTGTTTTTGTCATTATATCATGTTTAGCTACAGCATTTTACCTTATGTTGATGCAATGTCAATGTCACAGATTTTCAGTTATTTTTTGGACTTTGACCTTTGAAGTTAAATAATAGTAATAATGCAATTGTGTTGAATAATATGGAATTTTTCCTTTGTCATACTGTGCGATAATAATATTTGAGTCATTGGAGTGATTTTTTTTTTGCATCCATTGATATGTTTTTAAATTTAATTTAATTAATTCATTAATTCTTATATAAGCAAAATTTGGGAGTTAAACTTTTCTGTTTTTTTTTTTCAGAAAATTACTGATTTAACATCATTTCCTGCTCCTCAAACATTCTCACCTTTCAATGATTTACAATCATTTGTCCAACAGTCAACTCTTAATCAATTTATGCCAATGCCAATTCGTTCACAACAATTTCTATCATTCGATCCAACTATGATCCTTTCAAGCAATGCTGATATGTCTCATAATGTTAACTCATCACAATTTCCCATGCAACAAAATCATTTCAATTATTTATCAATTGCTTATCCGTTCTCATCAATGGCATTTTTCCAACAACCATGTGGTCCAACAATTAATGCTGCAACTACAAGTTATGCTGCTTATAATAACAATCCTTTTCTAACCAATTCGAGAAATACGTTAAGATCATCGACGTTTAATATCGATTCAATATTGGGTAATAGAGAAATTCACACAGGTAATTGAGATTAAATTTATTTATCAATGAATCATTTCTAAATCAAATTTCAATTCTATAAATAGTTCAACTTTTTCTTCAAACTTAATTTAATATCAAAAAATGAAATTGCATTTTGGAATTATCCCATATATATATATATATTACAATTTGTAATTTGCAACTATCTACAGTTTTTTTTTTTATTTCCATATAAATTTTAATAGATAATGAAATGAAACATCCTACTTCTACCAGTCAACCTATTATTAATCAATATGATCAACATTCATTACTTCATCAATGCTCGTAAGTTTTTTAACAATTTTATTCCTTTATTTATTTCTTTTTTATGATGAAAAGATTTTATAGCAGAGAAAAAAAGAATTTTTATTATTTACACATAAATTTAGCTTATTTCAGAGATTTCTTATTCAACTACTCTTCAATATTTGACCCAAATAAAAAGCAGCCTGACTAATCCATTAGTAAGTTTTAACATATCAAATTAAAAGAAAAAAAAACCAACCTAAAGCAGACAAGTTTTCAGTTTCTCAATTACCATCGTCTATTCCATTACAAAATACTAGTAAATGTATCTATCATGCCTTCCACTCACACAATTTGATATGTTTACATTTGTCAATTTTCAGATTATTACAGTAATTCTTTTTCAGCATATGATTGATTGGAAATAACAGTGATAACAATCTAACGGTGTGGTAATTTCGTATAAAATTTCATTCAAACAGTATTGATATGATGCAATCTTTAAAATTTCTACTCGATGATATAGCTAATTCTAAATGAAGTATTAATTATTGTTTGTTTGCTATTCATATATATATATATATGTTTATTTATTTGTTTATGTGATTCTTTATTTTGTTGTTCTCGTTTATAGGTTTGTTAATCTTTTGTTTCTTTTCTTGATTTACTTTGCCATATCTTATTTTTTTGAAGAATATTGTTTTTTTTTTTTTTTTTTACAGTTATATTTAAATTAGATTTTCAGTTCATTATATGATTATATTAATTAATGCATTAATAACGGGATGTACTTATTTATATTATTTGGTAATTTTAGTAACGGTGAAGTTTATATTAGTGGTTTGTTCAAAGCTATTTTTATATGTATGTATTCATTTATTTTCGATTAAAATAAAATCTTTCATCTATTGTCTCCTCAATCATTTCCACAGATTATTTTCAATTTAATTATTTCTCTATTTCTAATAATTACGCTTCCTATTTGTCGAAATTAGTTAATTAGAAATTTAATAGTTTTGTCTTTTTGAAGAAAAAATTGTAGTTTATTTATTTATTTTTTTTTAACCATAAATTTTATTTATTGCCCCGTTTAGCTCTTGTTATATTCTCTTAACTTTGTATTTTCGAAAAAGTATAGATTTTTTTGGAAGTTTACATTGTTTTGTCCCAATGTACTATTTATTTCTTTTACGCGCACTTGCTTAAAGTTGAATGATTTTAATCCTCTATTTTTAAAAATTTTATTTTTAGCTTTTTTATATTCATCAAAATCTTCAATGTAGAATTTCCTCTTTTTTTGAAAAAAAACTTACTGTCATTATTTCTCACATATATGAATTCAACTTTATCTCATTGTTTACTGCATTGGAGTGATCCTCTACATCACTTACTTGTAGTCTTTCATTTCTTTATTTTAATTGTTGATAAATTTGAAATAATTTTTGGAGAGGACAATCATCCAGATTATATATCTAATATCTAATGTATATATCTAATATTGCTAATACTTTCTCTAATTAATTATTTTGATAAATATAATATTAAATACTGCCTTAACATACTAGCATATTTTTTAAAAAAGAAAACGTTTGTTTGATGATTAATTGAGAAATTTAAAAAAATTTTTGCGAGAGAAATAGTTATTGGGATTGGTAAAATTACCTGAATGGAACATTGTGATCAATTCAACTAGAATTATTCTTTAACCAAGTTTCCAAATAATTATGATTTTAGGTAGGAAATGTTGTCTTTTTAAGGGAATTAAAATACGAAATGAGAATTTTAAAACCAAATGAAACGAGAGTAAGTATGGAAAAAAACGGAAATTGTGTCGGAATTAAATCAAATCTGAAATGTAATAAATTTAATGAATGCATAAACAAATTTATATGAAAACAATATAGTACAAGGAACTGGTGAAGAGAAAATTTAAAAAAGTCGAGGAATTTAAAAATCAATAAGTTATTAATAATTTAGAGGTTCAAAATGAAATAAAATAACTCAAACAAAAGTAAAATAAGCTTATGCTTTTTCAAATAAAAATAATTCAACATCCAATAAAAATTTTGAACTCTTTTTTTTCCTCTGCTTTTCCTTCCCTCCGTCTCTCTCCTCTTCCTCCTCCCACTTTTTCGTCGTTTAATATTATAAAAATAAAATAAAAAGTAAAAATAAAAATAACACAAGCCCATAGCTTTACTTGTTTTCATCACTCAGCGTTCAATCAATTGTCTTATAAGTGATTGATGATAAAACAGTTAAAAAAACCAAAATGAGTTGAACTACAATTAAATTATCAAAGTATTAGAAAAATTCAGCTTTATTTTATGCATTAGTCTAGGTAAATTTTCTTTGAATTACTTTCTGTTAAATTAAGAAGTAAAAATTTTTTTCGCATTATTTTAATTTAGCTAAGCCATAAATTAATGATCTGAATAAAATAACTTCTATTCTTTAAAATTTGCAGTAGAATTAATTAGCAGTGTTACGATAAATTAAATCTGTGATTAAATTTGTATTGAATTTATCAATCAGTTGAATTATTTATAAAAATGGTAGCGAAACTGTTAAAATTTGCTCAATTCATTGATTTAAAAATTATTTAAAAAAATATTTGAAAAATATACAAGCACTTAAAAATAAATGTATTTATATTTTCGTGAGTCTTCGAAGAACTTTTTTCTTTCTTTGCGCTAATATCGAATCACTGAACAGTTCAAATATACCATAATTAAAAACTAAAAGTGAATAATAAAAGGGAAAAAAGAAGTAATAAGTAAGTCTTATGCAGGTAAATAGCTAATAAGAAATCCATGAAATTGATTCCGATAATATTAAAGAAATCTGAAATAGCAAAAGAAGAAATTCGAATAACAATAGCACTGCAAGCATAAAATTTAACATGTTGTATATTTAATTTTGATTTCAAAAACTAATGTATTCAATATATGCGACATTTTAAAGAAATATTTTTAAAAAAATATTAAACAAAATGAAATTCAAATAAATATTTTGGCAAAAGCATTAAATTATAACATTCGTATATTTAATATACATTTCTTTTTTTTTTTTTTTTTTTCAAATAATTCATTAGATTTTAACTATTAAGATAAATAATAAAAATCCGTTGATAATTACTTTCTAAAATAATGTACCAAGCAAGTAATAAACAAACGAAATAAACTACACTAATTAAATATGAGCAATTTTAAAATTGTAATAATCAATAATAAACATAAATTGGTAATTAAAATTAAAAGATAAGAAAAATGTTTTCAAGTATATACAAAATGAGTTTCACATATATGCTAATCAAAGATTCAACAAATTTTATTACCATCATTGATAACATCAATTAATAATGTAAAAGCAAATTTAGATTTTCTTCCTTACTGCCCTGTTTCCTTATGAAACAAAGGTTTCCTTCCTTGATGGTTCAGATCGTTGAATTCTCTGTCCTCAATACAGGTAGAATCTCGAATCCGTACTGGTTCCGTTCTGTGTACGTGTACTGTGGAAGTCTTCGTGAAATACTTTATTATTCAAAACCTCAAACTTGGATAATTAAACTACAGATTAACATTAAAAATTATACAACATTACAATAATGAATTGATATAAAACACAAATGTAACTTAATTATAAAACATTTAAACATATAAGCAAGCTAGACACCTCGCAACCGAGCCATACCAAACAAGGAACTATAATGAATAGCTTTGTAAGGAAGAAAATTGGGAGGGATTTTATGGATGTTAAGGTTACAAAGTGGATTAAAATCACTTAAAACAGTAGCCTTTGTTCATTAGGTTACAGCTTTGCCATTCTGGCGATACTCCCGACTCGAGAAGTAGTAAACAAAATGACTGAACTTGTTATCAGTCTGCTCTTAGCTCTTTGGCATTGTTTTCGAATCGAGAACGGATGGATAATTCTTCATCTTCGTCATCTTCTAGTTCGATATTCGGGTCCACGACTTGGTACTGTTTGTTTTGACTGATGCTCAGCTCTAAGGGGTAGAGGTGGTTCAATAGTCTCTCCCAAATGTGTCCATTGGACATTTTAAGTTGTGCCGCTCGGATATTACTGGCTTATGCTATTAACTTGGTGATGTGTGCCAAAGGCCAGCATTCTCTGGGTATTGCTCCTGTGCGCATCAAGACAATCTTTCCCACTTTTGGAATGCGTCTAGTCTGCGCGTGTGGTCCTTTATGTTCTCTTTGTTTGCGTAGTGTTTGAAGGTATTGCGTTTGCCACGTTTACCACCAGAATCTATCTGCTATTGTTGCACCTCCCTTCCAATAGTTCAACAGGTAATCTCGATTATGCGAATCTGTTGACGGTTCTTTTCGTTGAATAGGTAGTGGAGATACTGCGTATCCTTTTGAGCTGAGAAAATCCATAGGTCGTAATGGCTGCATACAGTCAAAGGACGACAATTCATTATTGTTTGATTTGCTGGTGTGTTCCTCGTAACTTTTTTACCCATGTTGTTTGTAGGTGAGCATAATGCTGGATGGTGTCTTCGCTTGCATTTGAAACATTGTGAAGCTTTGCAATCTTTTGATCTATGTCCTTCTTTCAAGCACAGAAAACATAATTTTAGTTCTACCACTCGTTTGGAGAGTTGATCAGGCGTAGAAAATTTTCGACATTCATGAGTACGATGTAGGTTTGTGCAGAGCGAACACATTCTGTTCGTTCTAGATGGATGCGTTAAGGTTCCCTTATTTTTTCTTGTCGGGGGATTATGTTTCGTATTGATGTCAGTTTTAACATATCAATTTTGTCCCAATACGGACTGTATGGTTCTTTTGAGGCATAGCCTAATATATTTGCCACATTTTCTTCAGCAATAACAAAGGTTGCTAAGCGGTCTCTTAAGATGGGTACTGTCCATTCTGATTTCTCGTATTCTATTTTATCCAATATGGACATTGGAAGCTTTTGTTTTATGAGATAGATTGTAAGGGTTGAATTAACATCTTCCTCTTGGAATCGAAGTAATTCTATTATCCGATCAATAGCTTCTATAGTAGTTCGTAGATTACCTTCTTTCGCCCTAGGTAATCTTTCCAGTTGTCTATATAAGGCTTGGTTGATTGCTGCTGGCCATTCGTATCGCTTTTTTAGTGCTGCGATAACTACTTCATAATTTTGGGTGCGTAGCGCATAGGGTTCCATGACTGAGGCTGCTGCTCTCATAAGACAGCCCCGAAGGTACGTTAGTTTATTTAGCGGAGGGATTGGTTGATCATGTAGGGCGGTTCGGAACCAATCCCAGAATACTGGCCATGCAGGATGTTATCAAAAGTCTTCATTTCTATTTTTGGAAGTTGCATTTGGCTAACAAGTGGCGAAGCTATAACCTAATGAACAAAGGCTACTGTTTTAAGTGATTTTAATCCACTTTGTAACTGTAACCCAATTTCCTTCCTTACAAAGCCATTCATTATAGTTCGTTGTTTAGTATGGCTCGGTTGCGAGGTATCTAGCTTGCTTATATCTTTAAATTGTTTTGTGCAGTATGCCATGGTGTGCAGAAATCCGACCTGTTCTATCAAGATTGCGATGGTGCGATGCGTCTAGTGACGTGGACGAGGTACTGAGCGACTTAGAAAAGATTTTTGTACTGTCTGAGGCCTGGTGATGGTCGAAGATTGATTTACTTTCGGCACGGGTGTGGTGCGCCTGGCGGAAGCGCAAACCCGGTTTAACCCTTGGAAGGACGCTTTCAAGAAGGTTGTTTGGAAATCAGACAGTGCGTTGGGGAACTCGATGTTGAAGAGATCCAGGAATGCTGCAGTTGACATCTCAAGTGCATACCCTGATTGCTGGAGAGTTGATGAAAATTCATTTTATCATACTTTCCTGTTGGGTCGAGCTAAGACTTACGGATGTTTTCATCTGTGGGAATGGCTGAGTATGTTCACGAAATGCACAGATGTCTCAATCGAACTGCAATATATAATGTCGTTGTGTGAGAAGACAGACTGGAGCCTATTTTCCGTTAAGAAGGTAAATAAATCACAGTTGGTTTTTGTCAAGGGGTTCCATCATATACATAACGTCATTGAGTCACTGTTGAATGTTAAAGAGATGCGAGTTGGACTCGTGCGTACGAAACTGTAGATGTGGCGAAGAACACGATTTGCATGTTATTCTTGATGAATGCGCTTTACGCATTTGCATATCACCGAAGGTGATTATTAAAAAAGTGAGGACTTTCCTTACTTTTTGCGTACGCTATGCGGGCGCATTATCAGAGAAGCAATTGCACTTGAGATGTCAACTGCAGCATTCCTGGATCTCTTCAACATCGAGTTCCCCAACGCACTGTCTGATTTCCAAACAACCTTCTTGAAAGCGTCCTTCCAAGGGTTAAACCGGGTTTGCGCTTCCGCCAGGCGCACCACACCCGTGCCGAAAGTAAATCAATCTTCGACCATCACCAGGCCTCAGACAGTACAAAAATCTTTTCTAAGTCGCTCAGTGCCTCGTCCACGTCACTAGACGCATCGCACCATCGTAATCTTGATAGAACAGGTCGGATTTCTGCACACCATGGCATACTGCACAAAACAATTTAAAGATATAAGCAAGCTAGATACCTCGCAACCGAGCCATACCAAACAACAAACTATAATTATTGGCTTTGTAAGGAAGGAAATTGGGTTACAGTTACAAAGTGGATTAAAATCACTTAAAACAATAACCTTTATTCATTAGGTTATAGCTTCGCCATTGTGGCGACATATAGTATTTTTGCTTTCTGGACCATATTAAAATATGCAGAAACAAATTACTATTTATGTATGAATTAATTTCAATTCAATATATTTTATTCTTATAAAAATCTCAAAATAATAACAAAATATGTTGTTGACATAATGCATAAATTGAAATTATAGAAAAAAAAGAAAAACGATTTAGAAAAATATTGCAATTTACAAAATGGTTGCTAACATTTTAATTATAATTATCAAAATAAAAAAAAAAGGAAAACAGAAATCGTAAATATAAGAACAGATCAATGTAGAATGAAACATTTTAATATATCTCAGATTGCATTACCTAAAATTTTGGATCAATCAGTATTTTTTGCAGTATTGATCTTCAAAGCTTGTAATATATATCCCTTTCTCTCTCTCTCCCTCCCTCCCATCTCTCCATTATTTCCAAGTTTTAAAGATAAAAAAAGGTTGTATATGCAAATTTATTGGTTGATCATAGAACAAATATAGATCTTTTCCTGATTATTCTTGTTGCAACAACAAAAAAAACTTTCAGAGAAGCATAATAGTTATGTTAGTATTCTCGAAAATTTGCCTTTCTTTTCTTTTCTTTTCTTTTTTTCTGTCATAAATTTATTTTAGTAATTAAAATATCAAATTTTTGCCAATTTTTCTTTTTTTTTCGAGCTTTAATTAGAAATAATTATTTATAAATTATAATGAATTATTGTTTTATTCTAAATTTTTATTATTTAATTTCTTTTTTTCACTTTTGTAACATATAATTTTCAAATACATTTTAAGTGAGTAATCAAATTATGTGGAGAAGATTATTACCAAGGAAACCTAACAAGAGACAAACTGAGCCATCACCAGGACCGCCTGAAAAAGTGGAGAAGGCAACTGAGGAGCCTCCTTTGATAGATCCTGAACCACAGCCTGGACCTTCGCGACTTTCCCCGGTATATTATTTAATTTAAAGCACAAAAAATTTAAATTTGCCAAATTTTACAAACTAACAAATAAGTGATAAATTTATACTGACAATCTATTTTAATATTTATATCAATATGCATATGTTTAGTTATACTTATCATAAATGCTAATTGGAAATAAAACACAATTAATTTAAATAATGAAGAAAGATATTTTAATGTTGGAAGTTTTTTGCTATTATTAATCAGAAAATAGATAGTTATTTATCAGATATTTGAACAGTATGAGAGGGAAAAAGTATTTATCAACAAACATTTCGAAAGAATTATTTGTCAACAAACATAAATTTTATTAATTCATATTTAATTTCTTCTTTGTTTCGAATAATATTTTAGCAAATATTTTAGCCAATAAGTCGTTCAGGATCAGCACGAAGAAAAAATAAGCCAAGAAAATTAGAAATAGTATCTGATGAGGTAGGTACTAAATATGAATATTTTTAATAAAAAATAGTAAAAAGTTCTTCAAATAATATTCGATTAAAATTACAAATCTTTTTTGGTGATTTAAAATCAAAAAATATATATTTTATAATTAAAATGATGAAATATGATTAATTAATTAATTTTAATAGAAAATTAAAAAGCTATTAAATAATATAATTATAAAAGAATTAATTAATAAAGAATCAAGAAATATTTCTTCATTTTTTCTTTCATTTTCAGGATATTTTGATGTTAAAACGTAATATAACATTAAGTGAATTGCTGTTACGAAGTGAACCATTATTTGTTGATACAGAACTTCCTTCAGGTTTCTTTTATTTTTTTTTCTGTTTTTTTTTTTTTGTTTTATATAATTTTAATCGATAAATTTAAATGATTTAAAATACAGCATTAATATACGAGTAAAACCCTTTTAAAAAATATAATATGTTCCACAAATAATTTTTTTTTTTTGGTTTTTATAGCAAAGCTGTAATATCAAATATTTACAAGAAAATAAGAAATCAAAAAATAAAAAATAAGTGAAAAGTAAATAAATGAGTAAAAAACAAAAAATAAATGAAAATATTGATCAAGTTTATTTATGGCTATCATTTTTGGTTATTTACCAACAATAATTAATAGCAAAATTTTCACATATCAAAAGCTTATTTAATTTTTTAAAAGGATTTTGATAAATATATTTGATTTGAACTTTTTTTTTTAAAAATATATTTGATTTTACAAATTTGAACGATTGGACTTATTATAATTACTTTTGCAGATCATTTTGTTGAATTTAACTGCACTAACTTAAAACTTTAATTTGAACATAATCAATCAATCTTAATAGCTGGGAATATAATATTTTTTTGAATCTAATATTTGTTTACTTCTCATCATAACAAATTTTAAGTTTAATTCAATTTAAAAAGATAATATTACAACTTCTCGGAAAATTATTAAAAAAAGAAAAATCAAAAAAGTAAACTATTGAATATTTTTTAGAAATTGACAGAGATCTGCAAGAGATACTACAGGAACCTTCACAGGAAAGGGAACTAGAACCATTACAGGAGTGGTTGTCACTTCGAGAGAGGTCACAACAACCACTTGAAGAGAGGTCACAGCAATCATACCAAGCGAGGTCACGGCAACCGCTTCAGGAGAGATCACAGCAATCACTTCGGGCAAGATCGCAGCAACCATTTCGGGCGAGATCACAGCAATCATTTCCGACGAGAGCACGTGGATCAGCTCAACCTAGAACACGGCGGCCACGTCAACCGAGATTACGAGGATCACTTCAGGCTAGATCACAACAACCATTTGAGAACTTACAAGAAAATATCGAGCAATAATGTCGTCGTTAAATAATTTTTTCAATTTTCAGTTGAATCGAAAATATTATCAATTGATAGGTACAGTTTAATTATTGCGGTTAATTGCTCAATAAGTTTATCATTTTAAAATGATTTCCTGATTGAAAAATCACTTTATTTTATTTTATTAAATACTTCATTAAGATTAGATTAATTTGATGTATATTATTGTTGTCACATTTGATAGTGTTATGAGGTGAAGTTTTTTTCTTCAACAATCTTTATGTGATTGCTACATGCAAAAAGAGTATTTTCGATTCCTGTGAAATTTTCAAAATATCTATCATATGTCCACTCCTTTGTCCAATCAGCAAACTATTGAATTTATACGCATGCATGTTTGAAATAAAATAGGCTAAATTAAGCAAAATATTTTGCTTAAACAGTTATTTGCCAAATCATATCAATTATAAAGGAAATACAGTAGCGTGAACTTTGACCCATCCAAATTCAAATCATATAAAAATAATAAAATATTAAAATACTAAAAATTCAAAAAAAGAGGGAAAAAACCAGTAAATGGAATAAATAACTCACAAAAAGTGCGCAAAATAGCAGATTAATTTGAACGATATTCAATTATAGTAAACCGAAAAAAAGTGAACAAGCGCTTCTTATTTGAGTTTTTCAAAAAAATCAAAACATGTCAATGAATATTGAAAGAGAAATTAATAGGATAAATGTGAAGAATGCAGCAAAAATTTGATGTTTACAGAGTTTAGACGGAAGTAACAGTTCCTGTTTATGAAATTTAAACGGAGCTAGCAATGCCTCTATTTCTCAAATTAAAAATTAAAATTACTGATAAATGACAATCTTAGCAATAACGGACTGTGTGAAAATAAAGTAAACAGAATGTCATTTTATAGCAACAAAGTCGGTCATTCAAATATTTCCGAATTGGCTGACTTCTGTCCTGAACTAGTGACCTATCTGATATGACGGATTGTTAAACTAATTCATGTCAAAATATTTAATACTATTTTTACCTAATTACGATTTTTTTTAAGTTCATTTACTATTAACATAACTAATTAAAAAAGGGAAAAAAAGGAAGGGAATTTCGTCTCTCGCATTTAAAAACGAAAAAAGAAAACGAGCAACTAGGAATATCCAAATCTTCAGAATTATTAAGCCAAGAATTAATGACTTTTTTTTTACTTGCGAAACTCTTTAAATAACATACACATAAGTTTTGAAATACATATTACTGCTTATAATTATTGTCAAAAATTTTAATGATTGAAGCCGACTGATTTAGTGTATAGTTTTTCAGAAACATTAAGAAAATTCCTGATCATCTAGGTTGATATAAATTAGATGGAATTTGTAAAGAAATTACAAATGTATCATTCGCTATCACTGAATTTGTCATAATTTTGGTTAATAGTTTGTAATGGTTGTCTTTATGAATTTTCTCAAACGATTGGGAATAAATGTTTTTATTCATCTGTAAAGTAAAAGCATTTATATGTTATTACTATCGATTACTATTGAACAAGTTAAACAAGTTATTACTATTGAATTATTAACTAATTAATTAAAAAATATGTTGCTTTTATTAAATAGATTACGCAAACTCATACTGTGATCAATGCGTACATACGCGTCTATTTTGTGCATTTGTAATTATTATTGTAAAATAGTGATCTATATTATTATAATAAATGCTTATTTTATCTAAAAATAAACGCTTATCTGTTATTTTATTGATGCAAATGAGGAATTAGGTTGAATTTTTCACCATTACTTTTAAATGCAATAATTAAAACACATACTTTCGCTTAAGTAAATTTTGTAATTCATTTTTTCTAACTAAGCAACCTGCCATTACTTGATCATAGAGCAATGATGATTTTAGCGTCTTTTATTTGCATTATTTGAATCACCGTGGATGCAAATTTGACCATTCTCTTCGAATTGAATTTTAATGCATAATTAAGACAACAAAAATATCTGACTGAAAAGACTGGCATGAAATTAAAGCATCTTGCTGCAAAATTTAAATGCTTGATAAAAGTAATTCCTTAAATTTATCGATTTAAAAATTTCAAACTTTAATGAATTTAAACAGGACTGGAAAGTTGTCTTATATGCTTAATAAAAGTATGTTTTGGTAAAAGTATTTACTTACTCCCTATTAAAAGAATCAGTGACTTGATGAGATGAGCTTGTTCTGGAATGTCACTACGAAGTTAGAAAAACTTAGAATCATAACTACTATTTCCACAAGTTTTTTTTTTTTCTTGCCAACTTGCAACAAGGTTTCAAAAACTTCAAATTTCAATGGCTGATTAATTATTTAAACAGGTAATAGTTTTTTCCTGATTTTTCACAAATTTACACATGAATTTAGCTTTCAATAAGTTGCAATTAAACAAACATACCAAAAGTAAGAATAAATTCACAATTAAACTTATCGGTACTTTGTCTTCTTTCTTATATCACGCACAAACATAATAAATGTTTAAAAATCAATTACTAAGAACCTGGAGAAAAGGCAAAGAACAACAAGTTAAACTTTGGCATTCCGTTTGAATTTCCGTCTTTTCGGATATGAAGAACGTTGAAAGGCTCCACGTTTTGTAATTGCTTCTCGAGCTTTTATTTCCTGATATTTCTTACGCTGCTTAGTTTGTAAATCGGTGTCTGCCAGAAGTTCTTCAACAATTGTCCTCTTACGCTGCTTCTTTGGCACGCGAGATGAATAGAAATCTGCTTTTGTTTCAATGATAGTGCCAACCTAAAATAATTTTTATGCATAAACACATCCTTATGAAGACATAACGAATATCTATCAATAGTGGAAATATTAAGATTTAGCATTATCAAGCAATTTATTTTTTCTCTTGTATATCAAATAAAATTTTATAAGAACCAGCTTAAGCATCTAATTCGAAAGTCTTGCTGTTATGTGAAAACTAAATATAATTAAATCTAAGTATAATTATAATCTAAGTACAATACAATAAATCTAAGTATAATATAAAATATAATCTAAGTAAAATTAAATCGTAATATATCAGTGATCTACAAACTAAGTGATCAACCAGAAATTTAATGTTTCGCTTTTTGGTAAAAATAAAAGATAAACGAAAAAACTTGAAAGCATCAGAAACTGAAAATTCTTTTTTTCCAAATCACGCTTCCTTCGGTCATTTCACATTTCACAATTCAAAGTCATATTCTATTAATATGACTTTGAATTTGTACTTCAAAAACTAACCTGGAAATATTTTGGTAACACGGAACGATCATTCTTTCTGTAATGAGCTTTCGAATCTAGAGAATTTCTCATTTGAATAATTTCCAAATCACGCTCCCTTTCTTCGGTCATTTCACTTGCTGGGAGGTTATACCAGGCATCACCTTTCGTACGCTCTCGATGCATCTAAAACACTAGGATTGTTTAAAACTTTAAGCATAACATTGACAGAGATAATTCCTGGATTAGATAATATTAGAGGTCATAATACCTTTCTTTGTCTCTTCAGTGCTCGCCAAGATATCGGTACATGTGCTTCACCGAGGTATTTTTCAAACCCAGGTTTAATGATGCTTTTTGATAGTAGCTGAAAAAAAAGAAAAAAAAAAAACAAAAATTTCATGGCGATAACAACTGCTTTTAACTAAGCGGATTTAGCTTTTTTGATGACATTTTTGATGATTCGACAATCAAAACCGTAATTCTTCATTGCATGATTCTCTCTAAAATATCTGAGACTAAGGATCAGGAGTCATACCAGAACTCTGCATGTGCCTTATCCAAACCTGAAGAACTTTAGATTGATTTACATACCTCTTTTGTTGTCTCATCCAAAATTGAATCAGTAATCGGTACTTTGTTATTTGCCTCATTGTATTTTGTTGAAAAGAGTGGCTTTTTAACAATGTTTGTATTGATATTACTAATACCATCGGTATCCAGAACAAATAAATCATCTGTTCCAGTTTCCTGAAATACAAGTCCTGAATATAGACGTGAATTTAAGTCTTTCCAACAGGATTTGTTCTGTTTTGGAACATTAAATTTTCAATAAGGATGTAACACCCCAAACTAAATTTATATTGACTTAAACGAGTGGGAACCACAGAAATTTTCATTATAAAAATAAACAGCTGATAAAGTAAAATCAGCATTATTTATTAGCAAAAATAAAAAACATTTCGAATATACATCCAATTTAACAATACCTTCAATTCAGTTCAAATTTCATTCAAATTTCCTTTAGAAGCAAACTTACTACAGAATAACAGTAACATGATGGAATAAGATGAAAAGTTCTCTCCTTTTTTGATCCATTTCTTTATAATTAACATGTTTGATCACCAAAAATTTCACTGAAAAGTAACCTCAGTATCAGAAGAACAACGAAATTTCACTGCATTCCTCAATGTTATCTTCTCTTTAACATTCCCATCATTATCTTCAGTATCACTCGATGAACTTTCGTCATCCACCGGAAACAATAGCTCATTACGACTAATCAACATTCTGAAATGTAGAACGAATAGGAGCAAATTTCGGGATGTAGAACAAATAAGAGCAAATCAACTATTTGCTTTTTGAACATTAGTCTCTAAATGCATCATTCTAAGTGTATTAGTTATGCAAAACATCGCTTTATTGCAGATTTTACATTTAATACCTAATACTTTCAAGTATCTGCTGAACCATGTGATGCTTTTATTGCAAAAACTTACTTCTAATATATTGCCCATGTTTCACAAATGTGATAAATCATTTATTCAAATAATGAATCACCGTTAAACTTATATCATTCTACGTAATGTAACACTTTGGATTTTCATAAGAAAAACAATTTTTGAGATAGTTACATAACTCATTTTTTGGACACTTACAGGTTGCTCCATTGTACATATGTTTATTTGTGATTAAACAATAATTATGAATTAAAATCATAATAAGAAACAGCATATAAAATAACATATAAAAATGTCATGCTACAGTTCGCTTAAGTTATATCAATTAATAATGACAAAATTCATAAAAAACTTTTACATTTGAACCAGATCTGCATGCTTCACTAAAATTTACGGGATATTATCATGAGCTACTAAAAGCAGTACAAATTAATTGCAATTAAACTCAAGATGCACTTTCCTACCAGTTTATACATCATCCATCGCAGACTGCAGCTATGTGCAAAATGAAAACATTTTAAATCCATCCCGTAACGTATCAATAATAACATACAAAACAATAAAAAACATGCTAGCAATCAATTTTTATGAAGTTTTGGCAGAATTTATTATATTTCAAATTGCAGAAATTTTTAGTCGAATCACGGTATAAATACATAACAAATGTTCGATTCGCAATAATATACATGTATATATAAGTAAAAAAAAATGAATGAATGGAAAAAAGCAATGACGTTTTGCTTACATCGGTAATAAATTAAAAGCCAAAGAAACTAACAAAACCAAAAACTGAGGTAAGCAACTTTAAAACAGCAAAAAAAGTCAGTTCCTATATATATCATCGGTATAAAATTTAGCTGCATCGTTTCAATGAATATTGGTAGCAGTACAAAATCATTTAGGTGCTTACTTTCTTTTTATCACCTATATTTAAAATATTAATCCCTATTCTCTAAAAAAAAAAGTGTAAAGTACTTTATTATAAAGTATGAGTGCTGAAATTTCAATTACCAAAAGACTCAATTCGAAATAAGATATAGAGAATTCATTAAACATTACCAAAGAAAACATGAAAGCAGGTTACAGAAAATACACATTCATCCAAATCAGAAGCAAAAATTGTAAAGAGCAACAAAGCAGAAAGCACTGCTCGTGCGAAGATTTAAGAAAAAATACACCATAAAAAAGAAAAAAAAAAAGCTAATTGCTCATAGAAATATCGATTGGAAATTAAGGTAAAGATCCACATCCAATAATATCAGCAATATTCCCTGATCAGGTACTAAAAATCAGGAAGAAAAACGAATCCTGTAGTCACAATAGCCCTGAACCATCCTAAAAGGACAACAAATCAAATTAATTAAATGACTTCAATTGAGAAAACAGAGCAAAAACTAATTTATTCTAATCACAACACTGAATTCAAAAATGGATGAGCTTTGCTCTGCAATCGAGTCGTGATCATCTACTTTCAGTAATGGATGTGTCCTTGGATATGGTCGAGTTATGCTGCTATGGGCAGTCCAGACATGCAGTTCAGTGAAGCCATCTGGATTTGGTTTATAACGTCCCATATGACGGATATCATATAACGGATTAGTTGAATAATCCGATGTATTCCCGAAACGATAGCGAAAGTTCTCGAAGCGCATCAGATGACGTTCAAAATCGGCATCCATCAAAGCCTGTAAACTTCGTTCATGCCGTCTCATCTTCGTCACCACTTCCGTCAACGGTGTTGTTTGTCCTCTGCTTGACGTTGGCAACAGTGCCTATAGAGCAACTATTTTTATTGTTATCATATTTATATTCATGAATTTAGATGTTTTTTAATTGACTGTGAAACAACAAAACTTACATTTCATCGCATATAACTAATATTTAAAAAACTAATCACTAAATAAAAAGATCTAAAGTATTTCACCATAAAGTATGAATGCTGAAGTTTCAAGTATCGAAAGATCAAAGGATCAGTTCGAAATAAGATGTAAAAAAAATTCATTAAACCTTATGAAAGAGTAAAGAGCTCAAGAAAAAGAAGATAAACGAAAAGCAGTTGAATTTTGACAATGTCAAACAAGCAAACAAAGAATTTAAAAGTTTTTTAGCAATTATTTTCGTTATAAATTAAGTTCTGCTTCTCATCAAACTTTAAACAATAAGAATGGAAATACCTCTCTTTCTTGTCGTTTTGATACATAGCTGATCATCCCTTCCATTGATTCATCAGTAACTTTTGGACAGAATGAAATATCAAGCGCAGTTAAGAACTAAAAAACTGTTAGGAATCAATAGAGAAGTTAGTGAATAATTCAGTGAGGCTATGAGTAGGATATGAGTATCCTTTCTTAATTAATAACATTAGCAATACAAATATTTTGGAAGATATATATATGTATATATATATATATATATATAATAGTATAATAAAATGTGAAGAGAGAACAATTTTTTCCAAGTTTTCTTCATCAAAATAAACCAATGCTATTTATGAACCAAATTAATTCCTAGTTTAAATATTAGGATTTTTGATGCATGAGATGAACATCCAAATGTAGTTATTTCACTTTTTTCCGGAATTATTTTGTAAATCGACTGCATGCTAAAGAGAATCTCTACTTCTAAAACTAAAACTGTGCAAACTAACCGGACAGTGTTTCAACAGCATTTTGACTGCTTCATCGGATATCTCGTCACATCGATGCAGGAGAACAGTCTATAAAAAAAATAAGAGTATAATAACAATCTGCATTTACATATCAAACATTGACCTCATGCTATATGTAACATTCACAGAGAACACAATGACAATATTGTCAGTATTACTTCGATCACAAAATTGACAACAAATTATCATATATGGCCTATGTCGGTTATATGATTTTTGCTAGATGGTATAAGAAATAATATAAACATTACTTACTTGCAAAGTGCTCTTTTCTGCGATTATTCGGATCGTCTGGTCATCAACAACTCTCATATAAGATAAATTTAAGTGACTCAGGTACGGAAGTTTTGCAAGTTCACGTAGCCCAACATTGCTCACAAAACGACTACAGCCACTCAAGTCAACATACTTCAATTGTTTGCATCCAATTACTGTATTCCGTAAAACCTGAAACTTATCCATTCAAAATATTGTAAAAAAGAGAAATAAAAAGCAAGCAATCTAATCTATTAAAGTAATACGAATTTCATAAAACTTATAGATTACATATCTATACCTTTCAGAAAAGAATTCATGCATAAGCATTTATATCCAACATGATATGTATTCAATTTTTCCTGATAAGACTAATGAAATTCGTTTTACAAATTTAATAAACAGAACTAAGAATTTAAAAATTGCCTCGTCTGTCATTAGCAAGTTGTCATAAACAGTTAATTCAGTCAGGTTCTTCATCAGACTGAAATTTATCTCAATTCCTCCAAGAGTATGCGAAACATAACATTCACCGAATTTTAGCAACTCCAACCTAAAACTAATAACATTTGAAGAAAGCTTCTAAATTTTCTAAAAAATATTTGGGACCGGTTCTAAGAAACAAATCAATCCGCATTTATTTGTATCAAAATCTAATCAAAAATATAACAAATACGATCAGTTCAACTGATCTTGACGAGTAATGCGGAGCCATTCCAGAATCGAATAGAAAATATAATGAAAAAGCTGTTTGGGTACTTCAAATTCACTTCACATAACAAGAACAGAAAGTACTTACTTGGGAAGTGAAGCAAAAAAGCTATTCAAATGAGTAGGCGATATGTTATCAACACTATTCATCGTCAGAGCTACTAGATCCGGACATCTAAATCAGTATAAACTTTTAGGTTCAGTAAATTTTAAGACTTCTATTTACTTTACATAAGTATAAAACTCAGGCATAAAAATAAACAAAAACCAGTGATAAAACAGGCCTATCTCTTATGGCGAATAGTGATGCTGCTGTCAATCGAAAACATCCACCAATTTTCAAATTGATGATGGATCGTGGCAAAACGGTAAACGATGGCAGTCCAGTGAGGCGCTCATTTTCACCTACATCGACCTCTCTCAAATTTTGACACTTAGAGAAAAACGATGTAAGTCCTCGTTCCACAACGCTTTCCTGAAAAGAAAATAAAACATGATTTTTGGAGAATTGTGAAGAGGAATTATTGGAAAAAAGACAACGCAACACATTTCAATACATCAACACTGTTATGAGATGCATTAAAAAATATCAGAAATTATGGAAAACAACAAACTAAGCGTTTTTTTTGAAAAAATTATATTGAAAACAGATTTTAAACGGAATTTCAACAAAGGATAAAATATCGTGGAATTCGTCCTAGGATTCTATTCCGCTTTCCTTCTCCTGTTTAAGTTGAAAACCAATCAAGAAGTGCGATTTAAAAACTTGATATTAACTAAAATTCATAACTCAAAATTTAGTATTCAGCTCATTCCAAGACCCAAGAGACTGGAAAGCAATCTTACTGAAAATTATTCCTTTAAAATAACCTGAAAACATCGATGGAAATTAACAATTTCCAGATTTGGACAGTGTCTTCCCAGTGATTTGAGGGACGAATTGGTCAACTGAATACCATACATATTCAGAACAGTCAAATTTGGACAATGTACGGCGAAGCACATGCAAACATTATACGTTAACGTATCTCTGAATGCATGTAAATCCATTTCAAGCAAGTGATCACCGCAACGCTGTGCCAAAGACTTTATCTAGAATTATTATTATTAACTCAAAAAAGTTCAAAAAAAACCCATTCCATAATTGAATTACTTACAACATTCTTTTCCTAATAAAATCTTCCGAACTTTGGCTGTCAAATTATGGAAAGCAGAATATGTTACTAGTTAATCCGCGCACATATGTTACAGTCAAACAGAGCAAAATATATTAGGAAAATTATGAAAAATTGTTTTATTTTTCCAAATATAAAAAGAAAGCGAACTTCCTTGTTGCCAACTACTGGACGCTCAATCAAGCAGGGCAGTGAACATTCCTTATCACCAATAAGTGATGAGTAGGAGAATTCGGTTGTCATTGTCCATGAATAATTCTTGGCAATATGACGCCATCGGCGGCAAACCCGTTCTATTCTTATGCGATCCACAATTGGTAACAGCGTGAAAATTGAGATCTGAAAAGAGTAAATGAAGAGAAACTTTAAAAAATAAAATTTCCATAGACAATCCATTAGAAAAACTATTTTCGGTTTTTCAAAATTAGCCAGTTAAAAGAAAAATATTGGCTATCAGCGCCTCATTTACTTTCTTGATAATTAAACTGTAATCAAAATAGAATTTGACAGGACCACGAGGAATACTAACCAGAATATGGTCTGGAATGGAACTGATATCTTCCTGAACACTGCCCTCTTGTATCTTGTCAGCTTTCCCCCGACTCGATTTATTGATTTTACGCTTAACCAATTGTGCGCTGTTATCGCTGTTGACAGGAGGGTGCAATGACTGTTGCTGTTGCTGATGATGAAGAGCCGTTGAGCTACAGCCGGAAGTTGTCGGTGCACTCAAATCCTCAACATCAACTCTCAAATCTTCGGTTATTTAATAATCAAATAATATTGGCACAGTAACTTTAATTTTACTGCCATATCTTTATTCACGGTCTGATGACCGAATAACAATTGAGTTTAACAGAAATAGCCTGGTTGATTTATAGAGAACAAAGCATTAGTTCTATTTGATTATGATAATGTACAACATTTCAAGAAAGTTTATTGAAACAGACAAAATTTAGTTTACTGAAACCCAGACTACATCTGTAACCATGAAAGTCAGGTAAAAAGAAATTTACAGAGGATTAATCGCTTACCCGCACTTTTCTTTTTGCTGACTTTTCATCACGATTGACAGGTGCCATCCTTTTCGCTCTTTTTCTTTCAGCTCTTCGCGGTTGTACAGAGCTGCGAAGATACTGCCCCGAAACCACATACGGTTCCTCGGTATTTCGATTACTTCGAAGTCTCATTATTTAAGTCCAAATATTGCACCACTATTGAAAATAAATTCACAAGACTTTTAATCCATTCCATATTTTACTTTAATTTAAGCTACGAGATTGTACATCTGAGAGAGGACAAACAGTAGTAGCAAAATTGGCTCAATTAATTACATATAAAATGGAAATTCCACTCTAAAAGAAGCCGATAAAGTGGCATACATGAAGTTATGTGACTCAACTGGTAATTCCAAACATCAACTGTTCTTATGTGAGACCGGCATTCAATGTGTGCACCATGCAAAATAAACAAAAAAAAAAAAAAAAAAATTGATTCGCAAAAACTCTAATAAAATGATGTGATGATAATTTATTTAAAAATTAAAGAAAGAAGTTGTCGGTTTCAGTATATCAGGAAATGATCAAATAGTTCTGTTTTAGGATGAAATAAGTTATCTTTTGAATACAGCATTTATAAAAATGATTATCTTGGTCATTGATCAGTGGTCAACAGAATGCACTTTTCCAATATTACAGCTTATAAATTGTGCACTAGATTTATTGGCAGCAAAAAACCTTATTTATGTTAAATTTAGAACCTATAACAATCCATATTTTGAAATCTGGACCTCCTTACTCCAAAAAAAATTGGAAAAACCTAAATACGAAGAAAGATTTAGATTCATGATTCTAATCGACAGATAAAACTTCTAAATCCAGTTAAAAAACAAGGATGAAGTAGTCTCAGACATTTAACTTTACGCTTTACTCAGTCAGTCATCTGCAATCTAATCTCACTCCACGTTTCACTGAGTCAACCACCTGCACCCTAACCACATTTCATGAATAATTACACGTTCCACTCACGTCAACCACTTGCAACCTAACCACACTCCATGTCCAATTACATGTCCCACTCACGTCAACCACCTGCACCCCAACCACATCCCACATCTAACTCACGCCCCACCCACGCCAACTACCCGCAACTCGACCTTGCTCACCTCAAAGACTACTGCCACTCTATTACTACCAATCAGTGTTGCAATTCTACCGAGACGCGATGAAAACGTTTCATCCGGACGAGATGGGTTCCGTACGTCGACATTAGTTGACCGGGTGGCTCATCTCATCTTCTCTGCGGTGTCGTAGTCTACGGTAAGTTAATTCCCTTTCCTTCTTTCTTTCTCCCTCTCTCCCTCTCTCTCTCCCTGCCTTCCTCCTTCTCTCTCTATTAACATGATATCAACATGAAATCTTCAGGATTACCTACGAATGTCGGATGAAGTAAGTAATGACAGTGTTAAGCGGAAGAGAAATTAATATATTTCAACCTGTGAAACGGCCATATTCTATGTTTGGAGCAAAAAAAAGGTTATTTCAAGTTTTTTTTTTTTTAAATCAAAAGGTAAAAACAAGTAGGAAGTGTTGGAGGAAAATAGTTAGAAGGAGAGAGAGAGAAAAAAAAAACGGAAGAAGATAAAAATAGTAAGAATAATAGAAAAGTAAAGATTGCTTTGTAACTATCAGCTTTAGCATTGTCTTTTTTTTTATGAAGTTGTTTTCGAAACTGAAAATACAATAAGTAGATAATGTCTTCTGAAGATAATGTTAGGAATCATAAAGGATTGGAACTGTAACATTCAAATCTCATTAAGAGCGTTCGAAAAATTCACCACTTAGATTCAAATAACTGTATAAAATTTAAAATGTTCCCTTGTTTCATCTAAGATAAATTCGAAAATTATAAGTTTAGAGAAACCACAGTGATGATTAAAGTTCTTGATGTAATATTCCTGTTGTTTCCACTACTTCAGAAGGTTTATTGATTATAAACACACACATAACATTTCAGACTTCTGTTTAAGCAAGGGCAAAATTTTCGAGGCGAAAGATATTTTGCAAGATTTGTGCTTCGCCAAGTACTGAAATTGCGATATTGGGTTGCAGCTGGTGTTTTTAGCGGTTCCGTTGCAGCTAGTAACGTAAGTGAAAATTACGTACTGTAGTTAATTATGTAAATTACGTTTAGTTAATTATACAAATCAAGAAAAATCAGCGGTAAATATTAGTATTGTGCAGTATTTAATTTTCTTCAAATATCAGTCTTTAGCGATATGAGGAGTGGAAGAAAAATTTGCCAGAACTTTCTTTACCGGAATGGATCAAAATGGATGACAAACGGATGAATGAATACAAAAATTTCTATTATGATGTGAAATCGAAATGGTTGGCCAACGAGCAAATATGGTTGAAAAATTTACAGACAAGAATGGCCGGTTTGCAAAACATATGGAAATTAGAGCCTATTGAAGGTCGGACTTTGTTATGCTATACGGGCAAGTTTTATTATGGAATAACTATACTTTCTCCCTTTTTTGTTTCTTTTTTTCCTCAGCACTTGTCTAAAGTATATACATTTTTATCTAAAAGACTGGGTGACACAGTAACATTCATGTAAATTCCATTTTATAGCCACTGTAATCTGTCGACAGATAATGGTTGTTTTTGCTTCGGTTTGAGTTCGGAAGATTAAGAGTAATGATAATTTTTAATATGGAAATTGATCTTTTGTGATGGTTACTGTAGCAATTACTGCTATTATCTTTATTAATTGATTTTCAGACGATTCTGATCTAAATGGAACTCAAGATTCGGAGCCACAGGATGGTCATTTCTTTTCCGGACTAGATTTCATGGCTCAAAATGGTGAATATAGCTGCCTTGCTTTCTTTTCCCATTCCTTGCTTTAAATGCTAAATTATAATACTTGCTTATTTACTTTGTTCTTCAGTCTTGATTCTTTCAAAACTTCTCTTTATTTTTGCTGTTTTTTATATTTGAATAGATAAAATTCATACAATGTTTTATAATTTCAGAGGTTAAACGACATTTTGCAGAAGATGATGGTAAGTTTCCAATAAATTCAGTTTTTCCTAACTTAATTATCTAATTATTTTATTTGTTTGCATTTCTATGTTATGGTTTCTAGTTCTGATGGATTTTTGGTTCTTGATGACTTTTGAAAAAGTTTTCATGTTACAATTTTTCTTTTGGACTTCAGGGCCCAAAACACTATTCTCATCTGTATCGGACGTGTTCAAAAGAAAAAAAAATATATCAGAGCATGAAAAAAATGACTACACGAAGGTGATCTTTGTAGATGCATTGACACTTATTTGAAGCAAATCTTAAATGAAACTGTTATAAATTCAAGTTTTCAAAGGATCTGCTGCATCATCACCTTGTATTTGCAGATGAATGAAACTGAGAGAATTCAGAAGCTGCAAGAAGACATGTTAAAAACTCAGGTTTCGTGGATTTTTCGGTTTTTTTTGCAGTCCATGAAATGAATTATCTTATGCACTTGTGTCAAATGGTTGTTTGCCAGTTGATAAGCAATAGATTAAAATATATTTGCTTTTTAAAACTATATATAAAAATTTTTTTCAGAGTCAGTATCAACGAGAACTCGAAAGACTGGAGAAAGAAAACAAAAATTTGAGACAAAGACTACTGCTAAAAGATCAGGGTGCTTCACGGAGACTGAAGAAAATGAAGGTTTACTTTTGATTAATCTGTTTGTACAGAAATCATGTCAAGGGTCATCCGAAGGTTTGCTTAATCAGTCTGTCCGGAAATTTTTGTCAGAATTTTCATTCTTTCCATTTTTCTGTAGTGTTAATTTAATTTATGACAGAGATCTCTGATCGATTTGTACTCAGAAGCACTCGATTTACTCACTGAATATGATTCGTCCTACAGTACAGCTGATAATTTACCACGTGTGGTTGTCGTTGGAGATCAAAGTGCCGGTAACTTTTTCCGCAAAAATTTTATTTAGAATAATCTGAGAACAATGTGAGATTTATTGAAAAGTCTTAATTACTGTTGGAAGTTTCTTACATTTGAGAATTCCAGGCAAAACATCCGTCTTAGAAATGATAGCTCAAGCTCGAATATTTCCTCGTGGATCAGGCGAAATGATGACGAGAGCTCCAGTGAAGGTAATTGGAATTAGTTTTAAAATTTTTGGGAAGTTCGGAGTGCACTCCAAATCGTTAGTGTCTTTGATATATTTTTTTTTTTTTTTTTAATTTACATTGCTAGTAATTTGGAAGAATCATTGTAGGTAACCCTCAGCGAAGGGCCATATCACATTGCTTGCTTCAAAGACAGCACTCGTGAATTTGATCTAACAAAAGAATCAGAGCTGAAACAACTGAGAAATGAAATCGAGATAAGGATGAGGAATTCAGTTGCCAGCGGTAAGACGGTGTCAAATGAAGTAATTGCACTAACAGTCAAAGGTAGCTTTTTTGTTCTTATAAAATTTAAGAGGTCTATTAGTAATGTGGAGAATCTTCAAATGCTTTTCGAATTTCGTTTGAAATTTCCAATAATTCATTACAAGAATAGCAACTTGATATTTAGTAGATATACATTACTTTGGACTCAATTAAGTTCTCTATTTTCTGATGAGTACCCTATCTGTGCCTCGATTAAATAGAAACTCGATGCATATGTATCTTATCATTTCATATTACATTTCTTCTCATAAAACTTAAACAGTATGATATATATATCAATCAATATTATATATGAAGATCACGAAACCGACATTCGACGAAATCTTCAGGTCCATCTCTTCCACGAATGGTTTTGGTTGACTTACCGGGTGTTATATCAACTGTAACGGTTGATATGGCCAAAGAAACGAAAGATGATATTGTTAAAATGTGCAAAACATATATGGAAAATCCGAACGCTATCATTCTATGCATACAAGGCACATTTTTTAATTTAGTGAAACTTCAAATTGAATCTATTAGCTTTGTTTCCAAAATAGTTCAAAAACATAGATGAACTACAATTTTTAAATTTTTTAATAGCTTACAATATGTGGTATTTGTGTTGTTCTAAATTGCCTAATCTTTTTTTTTTCTCTTCATTAGTGATTTTTAGTATGAAATGAACTTCAGTTGCTAAAAGTAAAATTTTAGACGGTTCCGTTGATGCTGAACGTAGCAATGTAACAGATCTTGTGAGCACTGTCGATCCAGTCGGTGAAAGAACTATTTTGGTATTGACTAAAGTCAGTTGTGCATGATTTTTTTCATCTTAATTTTAATTAAACTAGAAATGTCCATTGTTCAAGTATTATTATTTATAATGAAAAACTGTATGAAAAACTTTCTTTTATTTCTAGGTTGATTTGGCAGAAAAGAATTTTGCAAATCCTGATAGAATAAAGAAAATTCTGGAAGGCAAATTGTTCCCCATGAAGGCTCTAGGCTATTATGCTGTCGTCACAGGTAAAGGTTCGAACACTGAAAGCATTGAATCCATTGTAAAGTATGAGGAGGAATTTTTCGCTCGATCTAAACTTTTCAAGTAAGCATTTCACCGCTTATTTAAAAACCAAGCTAAAACCGTATCTACCAACTTTTCATATTTTGTAAATGAAGTTGAATTTCGAATTAACGATTAATAGCTCTCTTTCATTATAGATTTTTCACATTTACCTTTTTTTTTTTTTTTTTTTTTTTTTACTTTCGCTGCAGAATTTCGTACGCAGTTTCAAAATTGGAATCGACTTTTTAGAGATGGTGTTTTAAAGCACTCACAAGTGACAACTAGAAATATGTCTCTGGCTGTATCAGATTGCTTCTGGAGAATGGTGAAAGACTCAATCGAATCACAGGCAACAAATTTTTAAATTCTCTTAGCGCTTGTGTTATATTATTTACAAATAAATGCTAATTAAAAATTAAATACTAATCAGTAACTTCTGTTACTGATTAGTTTTTTTTTTTCGATTATTTCCTATTCCTATGTAATCATGCACTTGAATCTAAGGGCATAGTGCTTTCATTTTTTGGTGGCTCTCCACAGTTCAACATTAGAGTTTCCTATAACTTCAGCGGATTTCCTTCTAGCCTATAAAAAATTTTTCTTTGGAAAGACAGATCTTTCAAGATTCATTTTGTAGCAATATTTTAAATAAGTAATGCTAATCAATAACTATTTCTATCAGAATTTAAGACTTATTACTATAAAAATTAAGATTTTATAGGCCGATGCATTTCGTGCAACACGTTTCAATCTTGAAACTGAATGGAAGAATAAATTTCCCCGAATGCGTGAATTGGATCGTGATGAATTATTTGACAAAGCAAGAGGTGAAATACTGGATGAAATAGTCAACTTATCACTTGTACCAGCAAAACGATGGGAAAAATTGTTGAAAAAGAGGCTATGGGATGCAGTGAGTCGTTTATGTTATATAATTATTTTAAAACACTTGTTAAGCAATGGAGAGTTTTGCTATCGAAAATTAAGTCGCATATATACAGAGAACATTGGTTCGTTATTTTTGTCATATTCGAAACAAGATATGATTCGTACTTTGATGTTTGTAAAAAAAATAATAGTTAATTGCATTTTTTGCATACTACACATAAGTTATTAGATACTTTATGTTAGATTCACCTAAAAAACAACTTAATTTCAAATATGGATTTTTGATTTCAGGTAGCACCCCATATCTTTGATCAAATTTTAATGCCCGCTAGTGCTGTTGACAATGCGGGTTCATTTAATACATTGGTAGATATCAAAATGAAACATTGGGCTGATAAAGAATTAGCGATCAAATCCATACAGGTAAATTACTCTTTACTATATAGCATGCAATACTACTCATGCAATAGTAATGTACTGTTAAATGTAATACGAACTTCCAGTAATTTTCGATCTCTTTTTATTCATTTAAAATCAAATTGTGGTTAAAAATTTCATGGAAATATATTTAGAGTGGATGGGAAATTCTGTCGGAATTGTTTAAAAAGCAATTGGAAGATGATGCGAAACACCGCAAAGACGAGGACAGTGAAATATTTGATCGGTTAAAGCATGCGGTCCTAGAAGCTGCCTTAAGAGAGCATCAGTGGGATAGCAAAGCAGTAGATTATTTGGTAATTATCAGTTTGCAACTTTCGTTATTTACTTGATCTCATAATTGTGAATTAATCCAAATGTTTTTTAATTTGAATGAGTATTTTTGCAAGGGTCCTTAATAGATCTAGGAAAAAATTTCAGTAGAAATTGCTTGGACGTTCGAAATACGAAATTTAGATAATTGCATATCTTTCTTTTCAGAGAGTTATTCAATTGAATGCAATGGAAGATCGCGTTGTACCGGATCATCGTTCATGGAATAACGCTATTGAATTTATGATATCAGCCATACAAGATCGTTTAAATGAGGTTGTTTCCATTCTATATTTGTTTTAAATTAATGCGTAATTAGAAGGAAAAAAAATGCCAAATGAATTTTTTTTTGATTATATATTTATCCAGAGAAGATTGTTAATCCGAAAATTTTCAGACTCGTAAACAGATAGCTGAATGGCATGGTCCTTCATTTTGGGCACGTTGGATTTACTGGAAAACACCAACTGCTGAGAACAGTTTAGCTGGTACAATTCAGGAAGAATTGAGGAACTTATTAATTCAAAATCCCGTAAGTAATCCAACTATATTTTGATATTTACAGATTTTTGTATTGAATAATTTTATTTTTTCTTTTTTCTTTATTCTAGGAACATATTCAATCATTGTTGGACGATGATTTGACTATTTTAAGAAGAAATCTAGAAGCAAAAGGCTTAAAAGAATTGAGCAATGAACTGATTCGAAAACAATGGAAATTGATATATCGGGAACATTTTCTGGAACGACAATATCAAGTATCACAATTTCATGTTTTTTTCTTCTTTCATCGATATACAATATTTTTTTTTTCTTTTATATTTAATTTTATCTTATGCTCGCATTAGTTTCTCACCAATATAATACACTTAGTTTATGATCTTCGGCATGATGTATTTGTCATTTAAAAGATTAATTCCATTTTTTTTGTTTACTTTGCAGACAGCTATAGAATGTCAAGATTTCTATCCACACTACAAACTTGGTTTCGATGATACAGATGTAGATTGTCAGGGAGTAGTGCTATTTTATAGAATACAAAAGATGATCGATTTAACATGTAATGCATTACGACAACAAATTACAAATACGGAACAAAGAAGATTGGAGAAAGAAATTAAGGTGAATATTTTAGTGATACAAATTTAAAATAAGATGTAATCAATTGCAAAATTCATTTTTCAGTTTGAAAAGGTAACTTTGCACTCCTTTTTTTTTATCAAGTCACTATAATTTTTGATCCATTTTTTAGAAATATCAAGAAAAGTGTTTCGAAAAAACGAGTAATTTTTTTTTTTTGTACTAGAAATTTCTTGGTTGCGTGAAATTGCGATATCACAGAATCAGATTTCCAGGATGTGTTAGATGAATGGGCTCATGATATAGACAAGAAAAAAGAATATCTAACTGGTAGACGTGTTGAGTTAGCTGAAGAACTAAGTAAGTATTTATTTTACAACTTTCAATTTCTAAGGCAGTTCTTTCAGATTCATCTCGTAAATTTATCCAATAGATGAATAGTACAGTAATAATTATTATTCCATTAAATTATCTCTATATTTTCTCATATGTACTTAATCATTTGGATTTATTTGTTATATTATTTTCTTCATTTCAGAGCAGGTTCGTCATATTCAGGAAAGGCTGGAAGAATTTATAGTGGAATTGCAGCAGGAGAAATCCTCTTAAGAATTATATCCTTCTATTACTGCTTACATGTTACAAGTCTGATGTTTTTGGTTTGTGCCATAGTTTTTCTTGATGTTTATACTTCTCTTCTAGATTGTGTGCAAGCATACAATTGTGTTATAAGTGTTTGTTAATAAAATCTTACTTCAGTTGTAACTGAGCTCAAATTTTAAATTTTAATGTCAATTTTTTTCCGCTTACTGGAGATATATGATAAAAAATCAAAAGAAAAAAAATGAAAAAAAAAAAAAGAAATTTTAAACTAATCTTTGAACAATTTTTCTTTTTTTTTTTGCAGATTAATTTTCTACAGATTCAAAAAAAAAAAAAACTTTTTTTCTAAGTGACTTGGTTGTGCAAAAATCAGTTTTTCTTAAAAATCCATCAATAATTGCATGATTGTTCCAGAGAAAGTTACCTTTAAACATGTTTTCCTTACAACTCTTCCTCGTTCAATTTGTTTTCGGATATATTTTCGGTCATAATCATAAACTTATGAAATTTTGATGAAATACTCGAAACAATGAAGATTTATTATTTAATAATGTCACATTGTTTAGTTAACTTACGAACAAATTTGCTTAATCGTTAACACTAACAGAAGGTTTAGGAAGTGAAGCATTTCAAAATGGGACTGAAGAATACGAAATGATTCGTTTTATCAATAAAATGAAAAGGAAGGAAAAGGAACAAATGAATTGTTCAATGGAGAAAAAAGAACGGTCAAATTCTAGATGGTATAATTTTATTTAATTTCCAAAAACATTTTTAGATGAAGAGGACTACGGTGTCACCTTTTTTTTTCGTATAAACATCTGAAGTAAAATAGACTTGTTATGAAGGACGGGATTGCTTTTTTAAAATATAATGATGCCTGATGTATGTGATAAAATCGAATAGAACAGAACGAGAACAAAGAGGAAGAAATTAGTTGAAATTAAGTTAAAAGAAAGATTTTGTCTAATATAAAGAGCTTAAAAAGCCTAATTCCTCTTGTATTCTCTTGGATTTAATGTTTAATTATAATTAATAAAAACATTTTGCAAAGATCGATTGGCAAACAAATTTGCTACAATAGCAGTAGTTCAAAAATATTGAGAAGTCTTATTTACTCTACTTGTAAATATTTAATTTTTTAAAAAAAAAATCTGAATTTTGTGAAGTGGACAATAATGTTTCTCACAATTTTTATTTTCATAAATTGTCTTCGTTTAAATTTAGTAAAATTAATGTAATAATCTAATAAGAATGTTCACTCATCTCAAGTATTAGAATAGTAGAAACTTATTTCGTTTCACCTGCAATACGTTACAAATATTTATATTTGTATAATACTGAATTATCTGAAACTGGAAAATTCAGATCTTAGCATGGAAGGAGTTAATTTTCAATCGGAAATCAATTCATCAACTCTAAACCTTTTTTTTTTCTTGGTGTTTTCAAATAATTTTTCCAATAGTCTTTAATTTTTTCTTTAAATAAATACATATTGCTATGAATTTACACAACAAAAAATTCATATTTATTTCCATATTTATAAATTATCCAAGTCTATTTTCACTTTTCACAAGATGTTAATGATATTAAATTAAAATCTGCAACACAGTTTCTAATTCATTCCTGATCCTAGTAGTATCGTTCATAAGTTTCTACTATCAAAGTATTTCATTAAAATAACGATAGCATTAGTTTCATTAATTTCACCTCGTCGTCATTTTCCGTTCTTTTTTTTTTCTTTAATATCGAAAAAGCCAAAAGTTCAATTTTTGCATATCCATGAATACTTCATTGTTTTCGTCATATATAATTATAATAAATAGCAAACAAACAGAACAACAATGTTTTCCTCAACTTCAGTAATTTGTTTTTTGCTTTTTTTTGAATTTATTTTCAATTAAATTCCTTCGTGAAAGGCAGAATTACTTGAAGTCAAACGACATATATGTAATATATTTAATGATTTAGATATAAATTTCCATCAAATATTCAAAAGACCAATTTTAAATAAAGTAGATTGACAGAGAAATGTATTATGATAACTTCGGACTTTAACCGTTCAAAAAATAAATTTCCAAAAATTTGTTTAAGCAACAAATAATTCGTGATATTAGTATTTTAGATCAAAGCATTCATGCCTTATAATATATTTTTTAGATCATCCATTTACATCTAATAGCATTGCAGTAGATTAACGACACAGTGTCAGGCAATACTGGAAGGGTCGAAAAATACGAAATCGATGTATTGCGAGTTTTGGCTCATATATGTTTGCTTTTCAGGCTGTAGAGAAATTTCACTGCAACTAATAATGATAATTTATGCTATAATGAAATGCAAAAATTACATAACCTGAAATCAACTTTTAATGCAATTCAAGAAAGCTATTTTCAGCATTCATCACTTCCACATATATTATCCAGAAAAAAATTTGATAAGATCAAAAGTAGTTTCAAATCATTACAACTTTTCACCTGCTGTAATTTCAATAAATTGCACTTTTTTAAATCTTCTTTTAAGTTCTTTATAACTTCTTTAAGTATCACTCAAAAAAAAAAAAAAAACTCTTGAATTTCATAAAACCTTTGAATTTACACAGACAACGAGTTCACAAACAATACAGTCAACTTAAAACATTTCAGTCAATAAATCTACCACAAATGAAAATGACAGGAAACAAAAATGACTATAAAATATAATTTGCTTATCTATTTCATATGGTATTTATCGAGTGCTACAACGATGAAATGTAATACTGATGAGAAAAAAACAATCTAAAAGAAAAAACTGAAAATGTAATTATTTAGAGAGCTTTTTCTTTTAATATTTTATAAACGCTGAAGCACAGAACTCAATTAGTATCTAAGATGAAATATATCATTTCAAAACCATAAAATGAGTTGTTCATTTATTTTCCTTCATCCTCCATGCCCAGACGAAATCTTTTAAAATTCAGAATAATCCTACAAAGATTCTGTAGCTAGCTGCTCCATGCCTATGATATATAGCTTTCAATGCTTCATACAAATAAATTTATGATACAACTAACAATTGAAAGATATTTATTAAAAGATCACTTAAAAACTACATGTGGGTTTCATAAACAAATCAAATGCTACTAAACCAATTTAAAAATGCACTAAAATGAAGTTTGAGTTTCGAAGAGATACAGCTTTTAATCCAAAGTGAAAATAAATTGTGCAAATAAATAGGAGTAAATAAATAGTCACAAATCTTAAATTCCAATTCTGATATCTTTTCACTACAACCAATTCATCACCAATTAATCAGTGAAAATTTGATATATTTCAAAATCACTAACTGATTCGGATGGTTATATATAACAGCTATTATTTATTCCTGCTTATTATAAGCTACATTTCCACCATGTTTTAAAATATGCTGTCGTTTTTTCATTACGTTCGATTTCTCTCTCGGATAGGCATGCCAAAAATTGTAGCCAATTAATACACAAAGGAGATTAACAACTATTAGCCAGAGCATATTACTGCTTATAAATCTGAAAAAAAAAGCGTACTAAAAGTATTATATATAATGTGGTTTTTTTTTTTCTTTTTTTTATCAATCGTTTATCAGAGAAACTAATCGCAGGGAGAGAAAAAATAAAGAAAGAAAGAGAAACAGAGAGATCAGCATCAAAAAATAGCTATGATTTGGCAGGGAGGATGTTTATCGTTATTATCAAACATATTTGGCGTCTTTTTCCTCGAATTCGCAGAAAGTATAGGAAATGATCTTCCAAGGGTAACAAAATGTTCTACCGTCCTTTGATCTTCGTTTTTGATCAGTTAAAACTGCAAATGCTATATCTAAACAACCCATAAGTTCAAATGTCAGGAGGGATGGAATTGAAAATACGAAAGAACCTACCACTTAAACTTTTTCAATTGTCACGTCAAATGTTTGAAACAAAAAAGAAAAACGAAAGTGATGATGAATTATAGCATATCAGAAATTCGTCATAATTACCATATACCAAATTTTATAATTCAAAAATGACGTCAAGCTGCAAGATAAAACTTTATAATGCAAAAATTAAAAAAAAAAATTGAAATGATAAGAAAAGTTCAGTTAAATTTTATGAGTAAATACTTAAGCAAAAATCATAATCATAAACTTCAACATGAAAGCACCATCTCAATAGAATTAATTCCGCAATTAATTTTCAAAAAGTCTCAATATTAAAGCCTAAAGATTGCTACAGAATATGTCAAACAAATCAAATAAAACAATGATAATTGATACTGTTTACTATCTACTTAATACTTTTATTTCAAAGTAAAAAGTTCTCTTAATAATGAAAATTTATTCAATTAGTATTAATCAGCTGAGAGAAAATACACAATACATATGTAATGCTACCAACAAATTATATGTCAACTTCAACTACAGATGTCAAAGGTCAATTTCGACACTCCGTCCCCACGTGACAAACAATATCTAGTCAAAAATCCTCCCTTATCTGCAACATCATATTTTATCACCGAGACAGATTGTTTTCAAGAAACGAAAATAGTATCCATTTTACGGAGAGTATATGACTGACAGAGTGTTATGTATATCTGAAATTTAAAACTTAAATTTGGTTGAAATTGACATGGAAATTGAGATTTGTTTGTATGTGAGAAAAAAAAAAAACATTTTTATATTGCTTTGTTAAACTTTTTAAATAGAAAAAATGATTATGAATATTTTAAGTAATAATTTTTTGATGCTTTAATTTCTTGAATTCTTGAATGCAAATTTTTTAAGACACACACACACACACACACACACACACACACACACACACACACACACACACACACACACACACACAAACACACACATACACACACATACACACATACACACATACATACATACATACATACACACACACACTCCTGACAACAACATTGTTATCTGAAATATGAAATTAAATTATTTGCAATGAAATCGTACTTCATTATCATTATAAATAATTTGCACCTATTTGAAGT